TTTATTTAAGCATAGTAATAACCTTGTTAATTAGTATCTCAATCGTAATTGTAATTGTAACTGGTGGATTGGTCGGTACGCGATGGAGGAAGAATTAAAGAAAAAATTGCCGGTCGCGGTTACGTGAAAGGCAATATCACGCGTCTTTTGAAATTAACCGAATTAGATCTCACTCCGTATTCTGTCGAATATCTAAAAGGTAAACGTGAACGCTTAATTACTTCTTTTCAAGAATACGAAACTTACTGCAAGGATATTCTAACTTTTGACGAAAAAGATTCAGAGGTAGAAAATGTAGAATTGATAGAGGAAAATTACTTTCGTATCTTGACTCGATTAGACGAAGAGATAAAACGTAAAACCTTCACGCAACCTTCCCATCCACCGGCCACAAGAATGTCACTACCAGCTATTTCAATCAAAAGCTTCGATGGTAAGTTTTCAGGATATGTACTCTTTATAAATTTATTTACATCTCTGATACATCTAATGATCGGAGCATAGATTTAATACAAAAACTGTATTACTTAAGATCATTTCTGAAAGATGAGCCTCTTGATTTAATAAAAAATTTGCCTATCTCTAGTGACAGCTATAACGATGCATTAAAAATTTTAAAAGACCGCTATGACAATAAATATAAAATAATTAGTGGCCATATTTATACATTGTTAGATCTCAAAAATATAAGCAAGTCAACGGCCACCAATAGTTTGTTTTAGGGATTTATTAGGGAGTTTGTGTCATGTGTTAGACAACAATTAGCTGCTATTAAAAATCATGAGCCTGATGTCCTTAAGTGGGACCCAATTTTGATATGTATATTGTGTCGTAAATTAGATCCGTTCACGGCACGTGCATACCAAATGGAGCGTGATCATAACACCAAGCCTATGCTCGGAGAATTCCTCGGCTTTATAGAAAAAAGAGCCTTGGCGCTGGAGAATGCCGAGCAGGGTCACAATACTTTGCAACATCAATCATCAGAGAAAGTGACAGCACATGCTACAACAATGTCGTCATGCAACTACTGTAAGTCGAATCATAAATTAATTTTATGTAAAAAATTTCAATTAATTCCAGTAAATGATCGAATTCAATTTATTAAAGAAAATAACAGGTGTACCATATGCTTGGGCAAACACATGGGCCGATGTAAATTTCACTTTCGGTGTTCAGAGTGCAAGGGCTCTGACAACACTCTGTTACACTGCAATACTGTAACACCGGCACCACCAGTCACATTGACTAGCAATTGTACTAATAATAATGTACTTCTTCCCACAGCAAAGATAAGGGTCAACGGAAGAGATGGTACTGAATTTCATTTACGAGCGCTACTAGATAGCGGCTCCCAAATATCCTTTATTACAACAAAAATTGTAAATATTTTAAATTTAACACCAAATGAGAGCAAAATAAGTATTATTGGCATAGCTAATAAAAGTAGTATGGTCAATTATTGCATTCCAATACAAATTCATTCCTTAACATCAGCCTTTGAAACTACAGTTAATTGTCATGTGGTAGATCAAATCACCTGCAACCTACCTCAAAACAAAATTGACTTACAAAATATATATATACCTATTGATGCAATGCTTGCTGATGACAAGTTTCATGCACCAGGTGAGATAAACATGTTGATCGGTTCTGATGTATTCTTCCAGGTGTTGAATGGGAGCCAGCGACCCACACAACTATCCGTGATGCCGCAGTTGATCAGCTCACAACAGCCATCATCGGTAGAATGTGTGGGCAACAGCTTCATGCAGCAGCCTGGAGTATACCTTATAAGCACTCACCTGGGTGACGTAATCGGAGGTACTCTACCCCATTATATATATAAACCTAGTTGCAACAAAGTTGTGCTGAAATGTGAATTAGGTATCAGGGATATGCTTAATAAGTTTTGGTCTCATGAAAGGGTTCCTGAAGTTTATACTGAAAAGAGTTCAGAACAGGAACTCTGCGAACAGACATTTTTAAATACTGTTAAATTGGAAAATAATCAATTTGAAGTAGCCATACCCTTAAAATTACCCCTCTCAGAAGTTGATGAAACTCTGGGTGAATCATTTAAATTTGCAGTCAAAAGATTTAATAATTTAGAAAAGAAATTGCATTCTAACCCTCAATTATTTATAAAATATCAGCAATTTATCCATGAATATTTATCACTCAAACATGCCCATTATGTGGATATTGAGTGCTATGACTCAAATAGAAGTCCAGTGTACTTTCTTCCCCATCACGCAGTCATTAACATGAATAGTAAAACAACCAAACTGCGAGTTGTTTTTGATGGATCTATGAAAACAAATAAGAAAATTTCAGTAAATGACTTACAATTAAATGGGCCTGTGGTCCAGCGTGAGTTATTTGATATAATTTTATTATTTAGATTAGGCAAGTTTACATTCACTGCTGACATCAAACGTATGTTCCGGAATGTAAAAGTAAATCCTAAATTTACCTCTCTCCAAAATATACTCTGGAGGGACGACCCTAATGAACCCATAAGGTGCATTAGACTAGATACTGTTACATATGGTTTAAAGACATCAAATTATTTAGCCACGCGTTGTTTACACGAGTTAGCGATTAGACATCAGGACACATATCCTCTAGCATCCGCAATAATAATAAACAATATTTATGTTGATGACATCATTTATTCTGACAATGACTTGAAAACTACTCTTGATGCAAAAGACCAATTGTGCAATTTACTCAGTTTAGGAAGTTTCTTTACTCACAAATGGTCTTCAAATGATGATAGAATTTTGTCTAATATTTCATTGAGTGAAGAACAGTTTGATAGTCGAGATCTTAGTAAAAATAATTATACTATGAAAACATTAGGATTATGCATCAATATAAAAAAAGATCAGTTTGTAATTTCATCTCCGGAGCCATTTGAATCTACACATGTTACAAAAAAAAGGATACAAAGCTATATAGGTAGGTTCTATGATCCTATGGGCTTTGTAAGCCCCATTGTAGTGACAGCAAAAGCCATCATGCAAAAACTGTGGATATCAGATACTAATTGGAATGATAGTCCACCTCCACATATTCTCCAGGAGTGGCTTCAGTTCACTAGTGATCTAGCTATGATGGAACCTCTGTTACTAGAAAGAAATATAGACATTTCAGAAGCACATACGGTTGAACTGATCGGCTTTGCAGATGCTTCGAGTACGACTGCCTATGGTTGCTGTGTGTATCTACGATACATATATTCGTCAGGTACTGCTTATACACATTTACTCTGTTCCAAATCAAGAATAAATCCCATTCATAAAAAAGACTCGACAGTTCCCAGATTAGAACTTAATGCTGCGCTTTTACTTTCAAAATTAATAATGAAAACACATGAAGTTTTAAAGCTTAAAACGCATATAAAGAATATTTATCTGTTTAGCGATTCTCAAATCGTTCTTGCATGGCTAAAAACCGAGTCATTGAAGCTTGAAGCTTACGTGGCGAACAGAGTGAATGTTATTCGTCAAAACACAGCTAGGTGGCGCTGGCTATTTGTCAGCTCTACTGAAAACCCAGCCGATATCATCAGCAGAGGAGCAAGACCGAGCGAGCTGAGAGACAATAAGTTTTGGTGGCACGGCCCTGCATTCCTACGAAACAGTGAGTACAATTTTTTGTTGGATGATAATAATAAGGTGCCTGCTGAAGTAAACCCCTGCTTGTCATTCTCCAGCAACTTGGTCTATCAAAATGTCAATCCGCATATATCATTGAACGATTACATAAATACTCAGATATAAATAAAATAATCAGGCTTCTTGCATATATATTGAGATTTTTAAATAACATAAATAAAAATAATAGTAAAATTAAGTCAAATTTTCTAAGTACTTCTGAATTAAATAATGCGTTAATGACCTTAATTAAAACGAGCAAAATAAATTATATCAATCTGTTATCGATGCTGATATAGCTTTTACTCAGAAACATCCCATCATTTTACCCAAAGGCTCCTATATTACCTACTTGCTTATAAGAAGTGAACATGAAAAATTGCTACATGCAGGGCTCAAGCTTGTGCTTGCGAATTTAAATCAAAGATTTTGGATTGTCAATGGCTTGTTTGAAGTTAAGAAAGTTACACACAAATGCATAACCTGTTTTAGGAACAAAGCTACAGTTGCCAAGCAACTAATGGGCTCTTTGCCTCGAAATCGAGTAACTGTCACTAGTAGACCGTTTGAAAAAGTCGGAGTGGATTTTGCTGGTCCGATAGAGGTTAAACTCTCGCGCGTTAGGCGATCCTTAATAGGCAAGGGTTATATCTGCGTATTCGTGTGTTTCACAACAAAGGCTGTTCATTTGGAACTTGCCTCAAATTTAACCACTGAAAGCTTCCTAGCATGCTTAAGAAGACTTATTTCTAGACGCGGACTGCCCACTGATATTCACTGCGATAATGCTAGTACATTTAAATGCGCACGGAATCGATTAGTTGAACTTTATACTTTGCAGTCATCATCATCACAAAATGGGATTTCCTTTCACTTTATCTCTAGTTATTCACCTATGTGGGGAGGCCTTTGGGAATCGACTGTAAAGAGTACAAAATTTCACCTGAAAAGAGTGTTACAAAAACATGTATTAACGTATGAACAGCTGAATACCATACTCATCGAGATAGAGGCTGTGCTCAATTCTAGACCTCTTTTGCCATTGACCTCAGATCCCAGTGATTATTGTTATTTAACACCTGGTCACTTTATTATAGGGAATTCATTAACTACATATCCAGAAGCAAATGTAAGTGAAATACCACAAAATAGACTAAAATTTTGGCAATTGTGTACCAATTTAAAACAAAACTTCTGGAAGGTTTGGCATAAATATTACCTAAATATATTACAAAATAGAACTAAATGGCAAAATAAAACACCAAATGTAAGAACTGGCAGTCTTGTAATTTTAAAAGAGGTGTTAATTTGTTTTTTGTAAAGGAAGAGTGTTTTTAAATGAAACTGTGACCTCTTCTCATGAAGCGTTTATTGCAACAACTTAACGTTTTTTAAATTACATAGGGGTGGAGTATCCACCCTTTTTATTGGTGCTCATATGTGTCGCGTGATGAGCGGTGCTTCTCACTGGTCGATTGACTGATGCCGTCATCGACGCTAGGTTTGACGTCGACCAGTGGTGGTTGAGGATGGCGCCTGTGACTTTGAGCATTATACTACTCACAGCAGATTTGCTACTACTGTTTTAACATGCCCCCGGCCTTGGAAGGTTCCACTTTCAATTCTTCTTCTTCGTTCCAAAGAGGGCATATTTTAGAGAATGCCCGCCTAACGATGCCGGTCTCCGTCTTTATGTCGGCGACTCTTGATACCCCGTCTTTGCCCGGGAGAGTGGAAATGATGCGTCCTAAACGCCACTTTAATGGAGGTAAGTGGTCGTCCTTGATGAGCACTAAGGTGTTTGGCTTCAGGTCTGCTTGGCGAGTTTTCCATTTGTTCCTTATTTGCATCTCAGATATATATTCTTTGGACCACCTTGTCCAAAAATGTTGGCGTATTTGTTCTACCCGTTGATATCGTGTCAAGTTTGATGGCGTGAAGGCGACGCCGTGATAAACTATTACTTCAAAATCGGGCCCCGCGCTCTGCGCACCTCATGCACCCCGATAGTTTTACGTGTCGCCGATCGACCGCCAGCGCTCGCTCGCTCTCCCCGTACCACGATATCAGGAACACGCGTCCGTGTCGCAATGTAACGCGTGAATCAAGTAGACGAAGCTTCGGTCCCCAATTGAACAAAACTATTACGGAGTCTTCCTGTTTGTTTATATAATTTATATTTATGAAGGCACATTGATATTTTAGAATTTACAATACAGTGGAACTAACTACGATACGAATTAATTAAAAAGATTCTTAAAGTAAAGAATTAAATAGAAATATTGAGGTAGAGTTACATATTCCCGTGATTATAATTAACGTAAACTAGTGCTTTTATTACTATCTTTGAAAGAAACACCAAAAAATAATCTTTGTGTTTTCCGTATATATTGTAATTGGTAATTACGACGTTTATTTATTTGCCAACGACATTTTTTTGAAACAGCTAGATATTTTAATGTATACTACATTAACGTACTTACGTTAAATGAAATGTGAAAATATACGAAGGTTAGTAACTTTATAAAAGAGACAGTAAGTCTGCGTTTCTGTGAATGATAGGTATATCAATTAAAAAATCTATATATATTATATATTTGATACAATAAACCTAAATTTAGCAATAATGTATGTTACTTTAATTTTATTTATTTGATACGCGTAGTGGACATTATTTCTTTATGTTTTAGAAAGTATATTTTTAAAAATGCGTAAGTAATTTAACATTATATGTAAGTAAAGTACGTAAAGATATACACTTTATGAAAAAATAGTAAAACTTTTACAGTAATTTATAAATTATTATAATAAATATTAAGTTTTAATTACATGTAAATAGGACGTGAACAATTACAACCTAATCATAAAAGATCTATTAACTTCATACTAATGAAATTATTGAATAATTATAGGTTTGAACATGATTATTTATATTTTTATGCATAATTTAAATAAAAAAATATAACTATTCTGCAAACCTTCTCTATATAAACTATAAGTACGCGAAATTTAATATTCATCCGTCCGCGCTGTTTTTCGTAAAAAGGATAAAAAGTTATTACTTCAGGTATTAATACATACGTTTTAATAAATTTATATAATACTTTTCATTATTTCACTTTTTTATTTATTTATTTCCTTGGACCTACCAAGGAATCTTAATTTTACGGCAAAATAATAAGGGAGATGGATAGTGGACATGTTTGCCATGAGTGAGCGAGACAGATATGACGCCACTTTTACCAAAGGCAACAAAAGTAAGTAAAATAATTAAAATAAAGAAAAATCTTAACCTAGTTTAGGTTTATTTAAATAAGGATAATATTGAGGAATAAAAGTTTGAACTCGTTGTACGTGAAACGGATGCATTTCAGGTCTTTGTAAAATACGATGTGCTGTGCTATTACAATAAGAAAGAACGGGAAAAAGAAAAAAAAGAAAAAAGAAGAAAAGTATTTTCGTTTGTGTACAAACGAAAATACTTTGGTCATCTGCGACCTTTTGCAACACTTCTTCCTCGTAAGGAAAGCGAGTTCTACCTCCAGCCCGTATTTGATTCGGGAAATGGCCGCCCTCCGTGAGTGCGGCCGGTACATATAAGCAGTGATCTGGATAGCGCTCTAAATTTGGATATCTTTCACGATAAAGCCTAGCGACAGCAATTGCATTGCATCTGCATTCCTCATAAATGAGGTGCTTGTTCGCAATTTTTTGTGAACTAAATAACAAGGATACCAACACAAAAGTCCAATTCCAAAAGAGACAACCCAAAGTTGTCGGTATGGAATCAACAAGTTCAATTCACAAAAATCCAAGTCCAAAAAGAGAAGCCAACAACAGCGAATACGGAAAGACGCGCAGTAGGCTGAGCTGAAGCTGAAACAGAATGAGCAAAATGTACTAACTGGTGTCAGACTGGTAGCGTAGCCATTTGCTTGGTATGGCGACTGTATCTGTTTCATTCGCGCGCGTTTAAACGACGCATCTCCATCTCACTGCGTGGCACATCTGTCTCGCTCGCTCACGACAACATGTCCACTACCCATTTCTCTCATCATTTTGCCGTAAGATTAAGAACCTACTACTATAAGCTTGTGTGAATAAGAAACATTTGAACGGAATAAAATGGGTTAGCAAAAATCGGGTTACTTGAGGTTTTTTTCTCGTTTTTTTTAGTATGAAACTAACAAGTATTGTATATTTACAATCCTGATTAAATGTCCGAACTTTTAATGGCACTTGCCAAGGCACTTTAGTACATTTTTTTAAAAGAGGGCCTTTCAAACTCGACAATTTATGAAAATTTTAAATATAGTTTAACAAATAGTCTTAATTCTAGAAAACTTGGGGCAATTGTGTCATTATTTTTTACTGTGATTCTAGAAATGTTATTTGGCTTTATGGTTCCAAAGTTTAAATGAACAAAAATAATAAAAATTAACCACAATGACCGAATAATGGTTATAGTCTGACCAAATTTCTAAGTTTTTCTTTAATGCCCCTAATTTTCAAACTGCATGGGATAGATTTTTTTCTGATTTTTCTCAAGATGGTTACAATCAATTCTCTCACTGCTTGAAATTGAGTTCTGGGACGGCCTGTATAGTATAATCGAAGCCAAATATTTCACCATTACTTTGATTTGCTTTCCATAGCCACAAAGACAAGTGCTTACCTAGACTTACTACAGATAAAAAGTACTTATCGGGGAAAATAAAGTTGAAAATATGTCACAAATATTTATGTGATACTCCAACATATAGTCGGACAGACAACAATGATTAATTAAATAATATTTTAGTGAAATTATTGACAATCAATAAGTTTCTTGATTACACTAAATATGTAGTAACATTGAGAAAAAAATACTTTATTTTGGATTCAATATTATATATTATTAGTATTAGTACGTATAACATTTATTCGTATAAGTAAATAAAATAGTGTAAAAAATGTAAAAAGGGTAACTAAATGATTACATTACTTGAAATAGTAAAAGAATTAAGTTACAGCAATATTTAATTTTTGTATAAATTCATAGACGACTCCACGATTTTACTTTGTTATAATGGGTCAGTCGATTTTTTCTTTGGATGTAGGGTTGTCACTTCGCCAATCCTAATAGCCGGACAGACCATCCAGTTTGGCGGGACATATTGGTAAAAAGGCCGGATACCCTACATTATTGAGGGTTTTGTGTCTCAATATCATGTAAATATTTATTACAAATAAAATTTTGTAAATTATTATTAATAAGTGTTACTTTAGGTGCGACCCGTCAAAATATTTAAAATTTAAATTGGCCCGTTGATAAAAAAGGTTGCTCACCCCTGTTCTAGATAAACAGTTATCAACATTTTAAAATTCTTCTTAACGTCTAATGAAAGGTAATTGCATAAATAAGTATTATTTACCTGTACCTGTTACTTCAGCAACTAACGAAATAAAAAAACATCTAAACAAAACAAAACTTCTTGAGTTAAGAAATAAAAAATAAAATTAGTTTTACAATAAAATAATGTAAAATCCTACTAAACGGCGTACAAGACTATTTATTTTAGCCAGATGCCAAAAAAAGTCCCGTCAAAATCAGTGCAACCATTTCAGAGATTAGCCGGAACAAACAGACAGACAGACAGACAAAAATTGTAAAAAATGTTATTTTGGTGTATGTATTGTATTTATATCCATATGCATGTTGTAAAAAACGGTTATTTCAATATTACAAACAGACACTCCAATTTTATTTATATGTATATATAATGGGAGTGCCCCATTTTATTTATAAATAACTACGAAATCAAAATAATGTAAAATTTGTTTATATTTTCTTAACCATTTCTTTACATTAATACTAAAAGTTTTTTATCATTTTTAACAATTAATTGTCACTACTTTACAAATTATGACTTAGTATTACATTCGTAATATGTACAATAAATCATTACTAACTGTATTTATTAACTTAAATACAGTAATTGTTAAATGTAAAATTAGTAACTGTCACCCGCACCATACTATAGCGTACGCAGTATAGTATGACGAAATAATTTACGATTTGATAGCGCGCGTTCTCAGGCGAGCTATCCGCGCTAAGCACAGGTCCGACGTTGGCAGGGGCCGGGGACTGACTGACTCTCATACAAAACAACTTGTGAGCAAGAGATTTTTTTGCGGAAAAACAGTTTATCTTGTTTAAAATAAAAACTATTGGTTATTATATACATCTGAATTGTACTATTTATGTGCGTATTTAGTATAATGTATATTGGAAAATTCGAGTCTTAAATCAGTCCCGTTTTCTTATACGAATCAAAAATATATTTTATAAGACCAATCTTTGAGATTTTTTTTTCTCTACTACAAAAGTTAATCAATCATCTAACGAGAACTGTCAATATGATGTCAAAGATCTGAAAAATGAAATACCTAAATATCAGCCCCGAATGATTTGTAATTGCTGAGAAAAGTTAAGGTATCTGAGGTCAATATTTGCGATGCGTCGCCTGAAGTCTTGAACATCAGAGCACGGCGGCGCAGTCAGCGGACGACCGACCAAGAAATGAGCTGGGCTTAAGGGATAATAGTCATGAGGATCTGTGGACATAGGACTAAGTGGACGGGAGTTCAAAACAGCTTCGTCCTGTGTTAATACCGTATTGAACTCTTCATATGTTAAATGCAAGTTACCGACTACGCGTCGCAATACATTCTTGCATGAGCGTACACCACTTTCCCACAGACCACCCCAATGAGGAGAATAAGGAGGTATGAAATGGAATTTAATTTTTTGACCAATAGCGTAGTTAATAATATCTTGTGAACAACTAGAGAGAAAATTTTGAAATTCATTCATGAGTCCTACAAAGTTTCTGCCGTTGTCTGAAAACATGTCAGACGGTTTACCACGGCGAGAAATAAATCGTTTGAGAGCTAATAAATACGCATCTGTTGACAAATCACCTACCAATTCTAAACTAACTGCGCGAGTAGTAAAACAAATGAAAATTGCAACATATGCCTTTATAACGCGTGCTCCCCGGCCCTTGCGATTTAAAATATAAACCGGACCCATATAATCGACTCCAGAACACATGAATGGAAATTCAGGGGTTACCCGTTGCACAGGAAGATTACCCATAAGAGGTGTTAGCGGTTTAGCACGAACGCGAGCGCATCTAGCACAATTATGTACGGTTTGTCTGGCAATATTTCTTCCACCAATCGGCCACCATACTTCTCTTATCGCATACAAGAGAGCCTGTGGCGCTGCGTGCAGTAGACGTTTGTGTTCCGCACGAAACAGTAGTATGGTAAATTGATGTTTGCCTGATAATAATATGGGATGTTTTTTGTCGTAAGTAAATGAAGTAGAATTACTAAGCCGACCACCTACTCTAATTAAATTATTTTTATCTAGAAATAAATTTAAATTTGATAAATTGTGCGAATTATTTAATTGATTATTTTTTATTAATGTAGTGTAAATGTCAAAGTAGGATTCCAATTGAACAAAATGTATTAACCTTTGTTGTGATTCACTCAACTCATCGACACTCAGTACACCTGTCCGTTTATTATTTTTAATTTGTGTGTTATTTATGAAGCGTAAAATATACGCACAGGCGCGTATCATGCGATTGAGTTGTGAGAATATATGAAAAGGAAACCAACTCAAATCTTGTGTTATGTGATAAGTATGAACTGAATTTGATTTAACCTCGGGTAAATCAGACAACAGACGACCTGAACTGTCCTCATTCTCACTACAACAAATGGTTGATGAGTTATACTTTGAATCAATTAAAATAGGCGGTCCCTCCCACCATAAATTATTAGTGTGTAGTGTATCTAAGTAGGCACCGCGGGATACTATGTCCGCTGGATTTTGGCTACCACATATATGCCGCCATGAATGATCGCGCGTTAACTCCTGTATTTCAACCGTCTTATTTTGTACAAATGGTTTTAACAAGTTAGGATTCATTCGTAACCAAGCGAGAACAATAGTCGAGTCGGTCCAAAAGACTATATATGACTATATACTAAAATTACATCGTAGTGACTGTTTAATTTTTTCATATAGCCTAGCACCTAACAAAGCTCCACACAGCTCGAGACGCGAAATACTGGTGGGTTTTATAGGCGCGACCTTTCCTTTTGAACATAACAATCGGACTGTAATCTTATTATCGTTACCTATACTGCGTACGTATGCGCAAGCTCCATAAGCAACCTGTGATGCCTCTGTAAAAATATGCAATTCTATGCGTAATGAATTGTTACCTATTACGTGTCGCGGTATATTTATTTTCGTAAGTAATGGAATGCTATCAACAAATCGCAACCACTGGTGAGTGACGTCATTGGGTAGCGGTTCATCCCAGCCAACTTTCAATAACCATAGCCTTTGTAATAAAATCTTTGCGATAATTATAAAAGGACTAAGCATGCCTAACGGATCGAAAATTTTAGAAACCTTTGACAATATGACGCGTTTAGTTAATATTTCGTAATCGATTTTGAATTCTGTACAAAAGTTAAATGTGTCAGATTGATTACACCAACCGAGGCCTAATGTTTTTTGATGCACATTATCGCCGAGTGATAACTCCTTTGAAGCGTGTGAGTTATGTGATGGTGTTGATGACGAGTCCTCTTTGTAGTTAAATATCCACTTGCGTAATGGAAAGCAACCTGTCATCAAAATCCGACTAATCTCGTTACATGTGTGAGTTAAATTATCTTTGCTGTCAGAGTTACCAGTAATTAAATCGTCTACATAAAAATCCTCGCGTATAATTCTACTAACGTTTGTGTTTGTAGTTGTAGACGCTAATTCTTTCAAACACCTAACGCTAAGAAATGGGGCTGATGCTGTGCCGTATATCACAGTGTTGAGTTGGTATATACCTATCTCATCAGTGGGATTTTCGCGCCACAATATTAATTGTAGGTCACGGTCATCGTTATGTACCAACACTTACATTTTATAACACTTATATTTTGATACATTTTTTCTTCGATGTCTGCGCATGCCACACACCGATGTTGCCTAAAGCGTAATAATATGGCAGTTAGATCGCCTTGTATAGGTGCACCTACAAGTTGTAAATCGTTAAGCGATTTACCCGAGGTGGTACTTGCGCTTGCGTCAAATACAACCCGTAGTTTTGTTGTGGTAATGGGCGCGAAAAACACCATGATGTGGCATTATGTAGTGTGGAGTATTGTATGTGTGTATTCGTGACATATGCCCCACCTCAATGTATTCCCGCATAAATGAAATGTATAATTGTTTGTAATTAGGTGTGCGTTGTAATCGTTTCTCAAGTGCATAAAATCGATTCAGTGCCTGAGAGTATGATTCACCTAATAATTTAGGACTATCCTTGAAAGGTATGCGCACACAAAACCTGCCTTCCTCTGTACGCGTTGTGGTACTTGTAAAGCGTTCCTAACAAGCCCTTTGCTCAATACTAAGTACATTAGTAACCCTCGGTAATTCCTCAAGTTCCCAGAATTTACGCAACTGTGAGTCTAATGTATGAGTAAAATTGCATGAAACTTGTGGGTATTTAGGAGTGTGCGTATATATAGGTCCCGAAATGATCCATCCTAATTTTGTGTTTTGTATAAATGGACCATTTCTAGACGAATCTTTCCTTCATCAAGGAGATCCCAGAATAAATCGGCACCCAATAGGATGCCGACCGACCGATTGTGACTCGAAATATTTTGCGTCCGCTAACTGTATATGAGAAGGAATGCAAATATTACTATAGAAAAATAAGCAGACAAATGAAAAGATTAAGAAAATTTTTCAAACTTAATCAAACTGCCTTATCAAAATTAGTAAAAGAAAAAGAATTTAATTTTGAAAAACAATTACAATATTATGAAAATCAGTTCTGGACCCATAAATTACAGTTTGATACAAATACTACAAGGTTATTATTGCATATAAAAGAACTGGAAACATCATTGGATGCTATTAGTGACAAGTACTCACATGCTCAGTTTCAAATATCAAAACATAATGTTGTGATGAAGGAATTGCTTGAATTTAACTCAAAAAGTGAAAGTGGAACATCAGAACAACTGTCACAGCAACATGCAGACTGCAACACTATGTCGGGCAATTACACATCACCTTCATCAACATCCATTGTCACTCCGGAACAAACAAATATACTACCCAATGTTGTTAGTAGTCACCACACATGTAAGAATAACACTGTAATATATTCAGATAGTATAGGAATAAATCTAGGATCACTCATGAATAACTGTTTGAGTGAACATATCCAAAACAATTGTATGCCGAATGCCCCATTTAATTATATAGTTGATAGAATGTTAAAAAATCAAAATAGTTATACTGAATACACAACTATTGTGTTATTCATTGGAAATAGTTTAGGTATCACTCAAAATGATTTGATGAACTTATTTGAATCTGTCTCAAATATGAGAATTAAAAAATTTGTAATATGTACATTTCCATACTCAAAATCATTATCAAAGAATAGAAATAATTATATCTTTAAACTTAACACTCATATATATAACATGAGCTGTTATAATGACAACATTCATTGTTTTGATACAAATAAATTTGTAAAAAAATTTACATTGACTAAAAATACTTTGTATTTGTCACATTTTGATAAAAGACATATAGCTACTTTGTTAGCTTATAATATACACAATCCTGTTATAAGTAGTATAACGGGTACTTATTCTGACTGCACAGTTTTTAGTAGTTTTACTAATGTTTCTGTGCAAGAATCTTTAAACTTAAGTTACAGACAAAGAGAAAGCCATCACAACTAAATTTAGTACATCAAAATATTCAAGGCTTTCTTGGCAAAGAATTAGAGATAGAATTATTTATAAGTAAATTTAATATTGACATTGTATGCCTCACAGAACATTGGTTGAAACAGTCCAACATGGTATTTCAGTTACCAAATTATGAAATATTGAGTACATTTACTCGGCAAATTTCAATTAGAGGTGGTTCAATTATTTTATTAAAAAATAACATTAAAGGGAAAGAACGTAAAGATATTGTAGCACTTTCAAATGAATGCATTATAGAATTATCATGTGTAGAACTAGAGAAACACATAATTATATGTGTGTATAGGCCTCCTAACTCAGACTATGAAAAATTTGAGTCTACCATGGAAGATGTACTGAAGTTAGCATTCAAAAGTAACAAATTTATTTTGGTATGTGGGGATTTCAATATAGATCTTCTTGTTGATAGTCCTATAAGTAATAAAATTAGAAACCTTTTTAAAAGTTTTGATCTGGATCATATTTTCTTTGAACCTACTAGGATTACATCCACTACGGCAACATGTATTGATAATATATATTGTAATTTTAGTATTTTAAATAAATCGATTATAAATAGATTGCCGTCAGACCATTGTGGACAAATAGCAACATTCGCATGTAATGAAAAAAACGAGATTCTGTATAAGTTCTACAGACCAACAACAGCATTTAAATTACAGAATTTTAAAAACAGATTAAATGGAAGTTTACCGTTTTTGATATTTGCTAATATTGATCCAAATATATCATATAATCGTTTTTTCAATATAATAAAAAATCATTTTGATAAAAATTTTACAGTAAAGAAACTTAAAGTCAATAATTCTAAGTACGCTGAATGGTCAACATTAGGTATCAATATAAGTAGGGAAAATATGTATCAATTATATAATATTAGATCATATTTGCGTGATCCTATATTCTATGAATATGTCAAAAATTATTCAAAGTTATTCAAAAAAGTATGTAAGGCCGCCAAGGCACTTTATTTAAAGAATAAAATTAAGTTTTCTAAAAATAAAATAAAAACTACCTGGAATATAATAAATACAGAAACAGGTAACATTAAGTCGCGCCAGTCAGAATATGAGTTAAAAGCAGAAAATGGCGTTATTATTGATAATAACGAACTAGTTGCTCAAACTTTTGATAATTTCTTTTCAACAATACCTCTCAAAGCTACGGAAAATTTAAACTCGTCACCTAGTTTAGCTGAAACATTATTAAAAAATACCATAAATGCTTGCGTTCATGACTTTACTTTTCATCATATCAGTTGCTCCTGTGTGATAAAAACGTTCAACGCTCTCAATCTAAAAGGAACTGAGGATATCTGGGGTATGTCAGTTAGAGTCATGAAAACTGTAATAAGTGAAGTTGCTTCACATTTAACTGAAATATTTAATATGAGCATTGATCAAGGTATTTTTCCAGATCGAATGAAAGTGAGTAAAATAATACCGCTATTTAAATCTGGTGACAAAGACAATATATCAAATTTTAGACCTATCTCAATTTTACCAGTATTTAGTAAGATTTTTGAAAAGATACTACTTACACAAATGTTAGCTCATTTTAATACACATGATTTATTTCATAAACAGCAATTTGGATGTATGAGTGGACGGTCTACTACTGATGCAGGCATTAACTTAATACAAAGTATTTTCGGTGCCTGGGAAGATTCACAGGATGCCATTGGTGTCTTCTGTGATCTCTCTAAAGCGTTTGATTGCGTTGACCATAGGATATTATTACGCAAACTAGAGCATTATGGAATTAGAGAAAAATCCTCAGAACTCATTGGATCATATTTGCGCGATAGAATTCAAGTGGTAGACATTAAAGGAAGCAAGTCCAAGGGGTCATTTATAAAAATGGGTGTACCCCAGGGTTCTATACTTGGCCCATTTCTTTTTCTTGTTTATATAAATGACTTACCATACCAGTTTCAAAACATACTTGACATAGTATTGTTTGCTGATGACACATCACTTATTTTCAAAGTGAAAAGAAATACAAAGGATTTTAATAATATAAATATTGCTCTTGAGGATGTTCTAAACTGGTTTACATCAAATAATCTAGCGCTTAATTCAATGAAAACAAAATGTGTTAAATTCTCTTTACCAAATATAAAACAAGTAACGACAACTGTTAGTATGAATCATCATGTTTTGGACTTTGTTGATGAGACTTCGTTTCTTGGTATTGTAATAGATAATAAATTGCAGTGGGGTCCACATATATATATATTCACACTAGCCAAAAGACTAAGCTCGGCTGCTTTTGCTATCAGAAAAATTAGACAATTGACTGATACTGCAACAGCGAAACTAGTGTATTTTAGTTACTTCCATAGTATAATGTCGTATGGTATTATATTGTGGGGAAGAGCGGCTGATGTAGAATCAATTTTTATATTACAAAAAAGAGCAATTCGTTCAATATATAATTTACCGTGTCACGAATCTCTTAGAGAACGCTTTAAAGAAACAGGTATTCTTACTGTTCCCTCTCAATATATATATGAAAATATTATGTATGTACGCAAAAACTTAAATTTATTTCCAAAAAATAGTCACTTACACGCTTTTAATACAAGGAATAAAAATAAATTAAATATGCCTAGTTATCGTCTCAAAAAAGTAAGTACATCTTTCATGGGACATTGTATACGTTTTTATAATAAATTGCCAGATAGTGTTTTAAATTTAAGTGAAGCCAAATTTAAGATACATGTAAAAAAAACACTTTGCTCTAAAGCTTATTATAAAATAAACGACTACTTAAATGACTACAATGTGTGGACTTAATTACAATTTTAACTTTTGTTATGAGGCATATAATTTTTCC